ATACTTGCATTTGAAATTATTACAATTACGGATCACTATGTACATAAAAGAACGCTTGCATTTTAATGTGTGTTTAGTTTATAAGTTCTACGCCACGTTCGATGCTAAAAATTCAATGTATTTCAATTAGGGTAGTCAATAAATTGAATTTTGATCCGAATCCGATGAAATTAATTAGAGATAGATTTAGAGTCTCAATTCGATAACCCAATCAAGATTTAAATTCGATAATTCGTTAACTAAATGAATCAATAGATTGGATTTTGATCCAAATTCGATCTGAATCCGATGAAATTAATGGGAGATGGATTTAGAATCTTAATCCGATAACCCAATCGAGATTCAAATCCGATAATCCGTTAACTAAATGAATCAAATATGAATATAGGTCAATTCAATTTGATAAATAAATAAAATTTAAATTTTTCTAATTTTTTCAATTTCAGATCGGATATCCGATAACATAGTTAATCGGATATGAATTTAACATTCAAATATCCGTCGGATTATTGGATCGGATCGGATAGGATAATTATTATTAACAGACCGGATCGGATTTAAGTATATCCGATTCATTTACAGCCCTAACTTCAATGCGAAGATTTCACAATCGCCCGGGTCGATTTCACGGAAGAGGTTGGGCAACGTACCATCAACATATGTTCTCTTCTTTGCCTCGATCGTGTACGGACAAAAAATGTGTTGTGACAGTAATCTAATCCTCTTGCTAATCATTTGCTCTGGCACGTCAATAATATGTTTCGTACAGGGTATCATCCAAACTCGCGATATTATCTGTCAAGTTGGAGGTCCTCTCCGACATAGTTATGTATATTATTTATTTAATATTTAATTACGTTGTTTAATTATTTATTTAATCACTTAATTAAATAAAAAAATTAATATTTAATTTAACTTCTTATTTAGATATTTCATTTATAAATTATCTTAATTGGTTGTGTGTAGTATGTATTTAATATTTCATTACCTTATTTAAATAAATTTTATAATATATACAATTATTTCATAAATAAAAAAATATATACAACTATTTCGTTCCCACCACTGGCACCTCTCCCATCTCCACCGACATCCATAACGATTATAATGAAATATTTGTGTACATCCCCACCCCTCCATCGTCACCCTCCTTGTCACCATCTCCGCTACTCTCTGTCACTGTCTGGGACTCATATCGTCTGCATACTATATCTCATCGGATATGACTCTGACCCTCTTCCTCGTTCAGCGTGTTAGCTCAGTGAGCAATTCAAGTTGACATATTAACATTTCACCGAGTTAATGACCATGCATCGAGATTTCGAAACGACGTACAACATAAATCACAAATGAATAATATATATCTCAAGATCGTTGAGGAGAGCTGATAACTATCAACTTTATCCCCATGGATAGTTGTTGAATGTGTTAATGTCATCATCAACCTCCAAATGAAAGACAATGATCGATGCCTTCTTGTAATGATACCTCAGTATGCTCTCTAGTATAAATATCATCCCCGACTTCAACTTGTCAAACATATCGTCACATTCCTTGAGTGCATCTCCTAAATTAGAAAATTAGACAACAAATAAAAAAAAGCGAAAAACTAATTTTTGTAAAATTATTTATTTCATAATTTATTTTAATTCTATATTATTTATTTCAATTATTTATTTAATTAATTTTGATTATTTATATTTAATTACTTATTTAAATAAATTATTTTGATTAGTTATATTTCTCATTTAAATATATTACTTATTTAATTACTTATTTAAATAAATTAAATAAATTATTTTGAATATTTATTTCAATTAAATTTTAATTACATATTTTGATTATTAACGTTTATTCATTAATTACATTTTTTATTTATCATTTAGATAATTATTTAATTACTATTTAAATGTTCATTATTTATTTTTGTGCATTTAAATTAATTATTTTTTCTGATTTTTTTTCATTTATTTGTTTCAATTGTTCATTTAAATTATTTGATTTAATTATTTATATTGATTGATTATTTAAATTATTTATTGAACAAGTAAACTTAAATATTTAATTATTTATTTTAAATGTTAGAAATTTATTTCAATTAAATTTTAATTACATATTTTGACTATTAATATTTATTCATTATTTACATTTTTTATTTATCATTTAAATAATTAATTATTTATTATTTAAATGTTCATTATTTATTTTTGTGAATTTAATTACTTATTTAAATAAATTATTTTGAATATTTATATTTCTTTTTTAAATATATTACTTATTTAATTACTTATTTAAATAAATTAAATATATTATTTTGAATATTTATTTCAATTAAATTTTAATTACATATTTTGATTATTAACATTTATTCATTATTTACATTTTTTATTTATCATTTAAATAATCATTTAATTATTATTTAAATGTTCATTATTTATTTTTGTGCATTTTAATTAATTATTTATTCCAATTGTTTTTCATTTATTTGTTTTAATTGTTCATTTAAATTATTTGATTTAATTATTTATATTGATTGATTATTTAAATTATTTATTGAACAAATAAATGTAAATATTTAATTTTTATTTTAAATTTTAGAAATTTATTTCAATTAAATTTTAATTACATATATTGATTATTAACATTTATTCTTTATTTACATTTATCATTTATCATTTAAATAATCATTTAATTTTTCTTTAAATGTTCATTATTTATTTTGTGCCTTTAAATTAATTATTTATTCCAAATATTTTTCATTTATTTGTTTCAATTATTCATCTAAATTATTTGATTTAATTACTTATATTGATTAATTATTTGAATTATTTATTGAACAAGTAAACGTAAATATTAATTATTTATTTTAAATGTTAGAAATTTATTGCAATTAAATTTTAATTACATATTTTGATTATTAATAATTATTCATTATTTATATTTTTTATTTATCATTTAAATAATCATTTATTTATTATTTAAATATTCATTATTTATTTTTTGTGTATTTAAATTATTTATGGAATACAACGAAAAAAAAATCCAGCCGTCTGTTTTGTAGACGGTCTAGGCCATCTGTAAATAGATGGCCCAAACATCTGGAAAACAGACGGTCCAGTCATCTAGCCGTCCTCTCCCCCCTTTCTTCTCCGATTCAGGTTTTGGAGATTGCCATTTCGACCCAAAAGACCCAAAAACACCTCAAAAAATGCCATTTTCAGTAATTTTACATAATCTACAAAGATTTCTACCATTATTTCCAATAAGATTTCTTCCTCTTCTTTTTCAGACTTCGATTTGAGTGTGATTTGTTAGGGGCAATATTAGGTTTTCATTGTTTTTAACGTTTTTATAGATTTTTCAAATTCTTTTTTTTTTTTTTAACAGTAGTCAACGGTCATTTTGAAAAAATGTCTTTTTTTTTTTTTTTAACAGTAGTCAACGGTCATTTTGAAAAAATGTCTTTTTTTTTTTTTATGGCTATCTGCCACCATTTCCTCGGTATTAAGGTCAATTGCCCGATTCTTTCTGGGCATAATAGAGGATTCCGCTATCCATCCCAGTGACTCCACCACCACCCTCTTCTTCGACTGTTCCTATTCTTTCTCCATTATATATTTTATAGTTTTAACTTTTTAGGAGAAAGAAGTGAAAATTACATTATATACTAAGTTTTATTTGTTAGGCTTAACTATTATTCCTTGCTGTGGTTCTATTAATTTAATATATATATTGCGCGCACACACACACACACACATGTGTGTGTGTGTGCGCGCGCGCGCGCGCAATATATATATATATATATTGCACATAAAAATTTATATATATTTATGTTGTGTGTAATACATGTAACACTTCAAACACTTATTACTATTTTCTTAATATATATGCATTCTATTATCAAATTCAAATGAACCCCATACGTACGCACACGTTCACCGCTAATTTTATTTTTCTAATGTTTGTCACGCCATGTTGAATTGCATGAATACTAAATTGTATATTGTATGCCTATGGGTTTACCACATCATCATAATAAAATGTTAGGTTATTGTTTCATATCGTGTCTCATTATGCCAAGCACGACAATTCATGAATGTAATTTAATATTTTATATTATTAGTTTTCATTTAAACTTATATGTTAACTTGTTTTAAATATATTACTATGTCCATATATAAACTGCGGGATAAAACTGAAGCAAATTGTAAATAATGGTTTGATTTGATTTGGCTTGAAAAATAAAATGATTTGGTTTGGTTTGGAAAAATTCTAAATGAGTTGAAATAATTTGAGCTGAAAATATGACACAAACCATCCAAATCAAACAATGTTCATCCCTAGTGGATAACAGACCAAATTACCCATTACTTTACCAAAATGTTATTAATTTCATTTATTTTAGAGGTTAAGATAGTAATTTATCAGGTATGTTTCTGGTAAAAATTTTATTTTTAATTTTTTAATTTTTGAAGATTCAATTTGCTTTCAAATTGATGATAAAATTTTGAAATCTAACGATTTGGATTAATTCAAAACCATTTTGTTGACAGATTCTCATGGAACCAAATCGATTGTTTTAAAAAGATATTTCAATTTGATTTTCCTCTGACATTTTTTCTTTTAGCCATTTAAAATTAAAGTTGAGATATGCTGTTCACCAAATAAATGATTATCATTTTAAATTAATATATTCAAATTTTTCTCTTACTATCACTTGTACTTAAAATTTGGTCTCTTTAATGTAAAATGACTTGTTCTCATTCATTGATGGACAAGAAATTTTGAAGAGCAGATCTTAACTAACAAAATAAAAATGTAGTAGTGTAGCCTAAACCGAAAGTTGTGGCCATAGCTTGTCATGAGAGTAAAGGTTGGGGGCATGGAGAAATTTACCCCTCAAAAATTAATGAGATGATCGGCACAATCGCAAAACAGCAGCGTCAGTCTCTCCCCCTCTTTTAATTGAAACTAAATACGTAATAAGTGTACACAGGAAAATGAAGATCGGCTGCTTGCCGGAAAATGTTATAGCGGAGATCTTCTCAAGACTTCCCGTCAAAACGCTTATCCGATTAAAATGCGTATGTACCCAATGGAGTTCCTTAATCTCGAATCCTTTCTTCGCCTCTTTGCACCTCAGCCGCTCCGTTTCCAACCCTACAAGACACTCAATTCTTGTTCACGAACTACGCCGCCAAAACAGACATATTTCGCTCGACCCCCACCTCAATCTTGGATTTGATCTGACTTACCCTTTCGGCCCGGGAATAATTTATGTGGGCTCAATCAATGGCTTGGTTGTTGAGAAAAATGTAAGAAAATCTGAAAATTTAATGAATTTCAAGGTACGAAAAATGTTATAATTTAAGAGATATTTCTTCTCTACCCAACGAAGTCACGATTAGGATATGATAGAAAATCTTTCTTAGGATACAATGGAAGCTTTTGATTCAAATTGTAACTATTTGATCAAACTAATAAGACATTCGAAAAAGAGCCGATGATGCCATGTGGGCTCAATCAATGGCTTGGTTGTTGAGAAAAATGTAGGAAAATGTGAAAATTTAATGAACTCCAAGACACGAAAAAAGTTATTTTTTAAGAGATGTTTTTTCTCTATCCAACAAAATCACGATTGGGGTATGTTAGAAAATCTCTCTCAGGTTACTCTTGATATGGAACCCTTCCACCAGACTGTATAAGACACTCCCACTTGGTAGTCATACAGATCCATGTGGTATTACCATAGGGTTTGGTTGGGAAGCCATTGATAATGATTACAAGGTAGTGAAAATTGGTTTTTATTATGGGGAATTTGCAGAGTGGGCAGAGGTTTGGACGGCCAATTTAGATTCGTGGAAGGAGATTAAAGTTGATCGCAAATTTTGTCTTATCACGAATTGTTGTGATGTGATAGTGAAGAGATTTTCTTATTTTTTTGCTCAAGATAGTCCTGGGAATGATGGCATAACTCTAGTTGCTTCGTTCGACATGAGGGCCGAGGTATTGCAGGTGGTTTCTGTGCCTGATTCCTTACTTGAAAGGCAGTATGATTTTAATGCTATGAATTGGAAGGAAACTTTTGCTTTGGTAGCACGTGTTTCACCAGAGCCCAGAAAAATATATCAAGTATGGACGATGGAAAATAGTAGTGTAGGGAAGGAACATTGGAATAAGAAATTCACCCTTGAACCGGATCATATCTTTTACCGAACGGTGAACAGTGTAAATGGAAAATTCATACTGAGAAGACACCGAACTCTGATCTTATATGATGTGGAAAACAGAGATACCAAGACAGTTGGACGAGTCAAATTTCCCGTGCTTGGGGCTCATTACTATGTGGAGAGCTTAATGTCAATCAAGGGGTTTAATCATTTTGGAGATGATGCCAGAAGGAGATGGAATGAGCAAGAACTAGAACTCAATACAGGTCACGTCTCAATTGAAACGAAATCTTGACCTTGAGTGAGGAATTGTTGGGTTTTGTCATTAGACAAGATTTGACATTAATAGTTCATGCTTTAGCGTTTGGGATTGATTCCTTTTTTCCATGTCCATACTCAGTTTTTGAGCTTGCTGGTACTGATTTCTATCCCATTATTGCAACGTGACATGATTTCACTGTTCAAGGGCATGTTATTAGTTACCCCTAGTATATTTCTTCCACATGGTTGAGGAGCACTAAAATTTTGATATTCAATTTGTATTTTGTAGAATTGTTTATGTGACACAGGTACTTTTGATTGCGTGAGTAGCCTATGTTAAAAACTTGGATTTGGCTTAAAGCAACACGTAAGTGATGATTAAGATGTTACAACTGATAATGAACTAGCGATCATACTAATGAAGATACCTGGGCTAGGACAAAAAATGTGTGCTTGTGTGTCCTCTCACCATAATTATTACATATTTAGCATTCTTTCGTGCAATGGGCCTAACGCATTGCATCATAATGGCTTGTTTCAGGTCAGGAGCTACTTGAATGATAATATTAATGGATTGGGTAAGATCTTCTATCTCATATACAAATCTGTCATATTTTTCTATTTCCAGTACTGTACACGACATACGTAGTGAGTATGCCATTTTATGGGGTCACGGTGGCAATGTAACTTGATTTTGCAATGTGCACAATGTGCATTAAAAAATTTGGTTTAGAAGGTAGTTGATTGTTGCGAGAAGTTAAGCAAGAATCAAAGTTGGGTGGCAAATGGAAGTTAGAATAGCAAACTTGTTACTTCTTAATTTTAGATTCAAATATGATTTACTAAGGATAACTGAAAATTGTTCCCTTTTTAGTGGAATTTTGAAAACTTATATAGATAACACAGTGGCTGAGGAACAATGTGAAAGCTTTAATATGTTTCTCTTTGCTGTGGAAGTGAACAATTTGTTGGACAGATGTTGTATTTATTTGTAAACTGGCGTAGAGAACATAGATGGAATCCGCCTCTTTTTTAACCTGAGGAACCACTTGAAATAAGGGTTGTCTAAACTTTTTTTTTTTTTTTTTTTTTTTAGAAAAGGTTGTCTAAACAAATTATGGAAATCCCATCAGAAACTGAAAAGAAATACCGTTTTTCAGAGCTGTTGAGATCTGAAATTGAGAGAAGCAGTGGGTTCTAGCTTTTTTTTTCAGTGCATGTATGTTTTGTTTTTGGATTCATCTGTAGGATACTATGGTGCATCATAAAGTTCTGCTGCTTCTTGTTGTTCGTTTGTTCTGTAGTTGCAGTTATGTTTTTTTTACTTCTCTGTTGTAAACAGAGTGCTTGTGCAGAAACAGAGAAGTTTACTTCTCTGATGAAGGAAGAGGCTCTGGAATTCTTTCTTTATTTATTTATTCCTCTCTTTTTGATGTTGCATTCAACTTCTCTATATAAGATGTTCGTAAACAGGCATAGAAAACATATGAGAATAGATGGAATCCTTTTATTTTTAAATAAATAAATAAATAAATAAAGCTAGTGCTTGAAATAAGAATTATCTATGCCACTGCGGAGAATTCATGAGTAACTGAAAAGAAATTCCAAGTTTTGAAGCTTTTGAGATCCGAAATTGAGAGAAAAAGTGGTAGGTTACTGCATTTTACAATGAAATGCCAACTGTCAAGAGGTTGGCTTGCTCCTTCACATTCTTTCTCAATAGCTAAAATGAAAATAAGCTCCTCACCCCACCCCTTCCTTTATTTATAATGGACTAGTGCCTTATTTTTTCAGGAATATTCCCCGCTAACAAACTGACCAGATGACTGAAATTAAGTTCAACTTCAAGTTCTCAATTAATTCCCCTGATGCATGAACTCCTCTGTTTTCCAACATGAATCCTTGCATGAGCTTCCTATTCTGCCTCTTTTTTCTGTTTTGCCCATGTTACCCTCCTAAGGTCTGCAAATCGGTTCGGCGGCCTATTGTTATGTTCAAAAAGTCTATGCATTGTGCAAGGAGTTCTAACGTCGTATTAATTCGTAAACAGGGGTAGAAAACGTATGAGAATAGATGGAATCATTATCTTTTTTAACAAAGCCTCCCCTTGAAATAAGAGTTATCTCAACCAATGTGGAGAACTCATCAGAAACTGAAAAGAAATGCCTAGGTTTGAAGCTGTTGAGATCTGATAACGAGAGAAAAGCAGTGGATTTTAGCTTTTTTTAATTCTTTTAGTACATGTATGGTAGTGTTTTTGGATTCATCTTTAGGATACCATGGTGCAATCTTACTTAGTGTAGCCATTTAAATTACTTTTCTTCACAATATAGCTTGAAATTCGTTGCAATTTTTAGCCTTTTGTGTTTCAATGTTTCATTGCTTGAAAATTCACTTTGTGATCATCAACCTTCACAGTCAATTGCAAAATAACTGCATCATGATTTAATTTTGATTTTCCCTTTAGCAAGTTTATGACCGTTGTGATTTTGTTAAAATGTTTATTCACAGTTCACAACTATTTACCCCTTTCTGCAATGCTGACGGATATATGGCCATGCTTCTTGGATGTTCAATGCCACTGCCCTTAGCTGCATTGAAAATTTCTGATGTGGAAAGTTCTCAATCTCTGTTACATCTGTTATCGATTTTCTCATTTGCAATTCTGGTGGTGTGACTGTTGATGGGAATTTCAAAGTTTTTAGACATGCAGATGGAGTTTGTATGGTTTGTTGCTTGACTTGCATCAGTTTGAATAGGATATTCTTTTACGATTCTAGAAGTTCTAACAAACAATTAGTTTTCGACGCTAAAATCTCATATCATCATCAGATATGAAAAGAACCAATCACTCTGATCAGACTTTTCATGTGCAGGGTGAGTATGAGGTATGTTTGCTTTCCAAACTTCATCTCTACACTTTAGCCACTTTATTGTAATCTATAACCCAGAAAAAGAGGAACAGCCATGGATTAAAAGGTTAAGTGAATTCCACACGATGAATTCTTCAACACATTTGTGCGACCTACTGCCTCAGTAAGTCAATATTCAATTTTGAATATTCCATCACAAGCATAACCCTTACCCATAAATAAACTCTTTTTGGTAATCTCATATTGATCATATTCCTTAGTCTCTCTAAATTCAGCCTTATTAAGAAAGAAGCTTGACATTAAATTCTTCCTCATTGACAATGCATGTAAAACATCTTTCAGAATTAGCACACGTCCAGATGTGAATTTCACTTCGACCTCACCACTCCCAAGAATCTTGGTTTTGCTAGAATTACCAAGCAAGATGATTTTCTGTTCTTCGAAAGGAGAAATTCTTGAATGATCTTTATCATAACGGACATGCCTATTGGCACCAGTTTTTACCCACCACCCTTCAACATACTGCACCATGCTAATGTTTGTAATCATTGCCACAAGTGGCTCTTCAATTACATTGGCTTGAGGAAAAGGCTGTTGTTTTCGAAATCTGCAATTTCAAGCAATATGCCCACTTTTACAATAGACAAAACACGCATTATAAATTTGATTTTGAAAAGAGCATTGGTTCTTATTTTTCTGATTTGGGTTTCCTCAATAGTGAGGTTTATCATAAATTTTCATATTTTTCTTTCTTAGCTTCAACTGAGTATTTCTAAAAAATTGATTATTTGGCAAGGAATCTTGTGACAACTAAATTTACTTCCGTGCCAGAATGTCATTTTAAATGGCAAACTTGGGTTAAGAGGCAAATACTTGATACAAAACATAATTTTTACCCTCCAAACCTAAATGTTGCACACCTAAATAGTAGCTGGAGCACGGGTTTTTCTGGTCCAAGTGTATCTTGTCTTTACCACGAATCATTTTCCTTGGTTAACAATAATTGTTATTGAAGCGCAGTCAAAATATGGTTTTTGGGGGTGGAATTTGTGGCGTCAACCTACAAAATTTTCAACCATTCCAAGCTCGAGAAATCAAGTAAAATCGAAGGAAAAAATAAAAGGAAATCTTTCGCAAACAAGATCAATGACTGCTTCAACTACTTTTTCTTCAAAGTCTTCTTCTCCAAATCTGCAAATAAATAATAAATAATTGCAGATTTTCGGTTTTGAATTTTTTGTTCAATTAGTTTCCAAAATCTGCCATTTTAAGATCATTTAATGCGTGAAAGCAACATTTGTAATGAGCAATTTCGAGCTGAAGAAACTCTCACTTGAAAATCCTGATCGTTTTAGTGCATTGTCCCTGTCACTTTCCTATTAATTTGAGATTAGGTTTAGTTTTGAACCTTCTAATGTAAATAATTGGCATTTATGAATGTCGTTTTTGATGGTTTCAATACTGTGACTAGAAAAATACTTGAAAAAATTATATTGTTGATCTTGAGAGAAAATAGATTGAGTTAAAAAAAAATGACATGAAGTAACATTTTATTTGTATTTTTTGCATATGAGTTAATTTGTCAAAAATTAAAAGTAACATGCTGTCCCTTTTTTTAGGAAAAAAAGTAATTAAAAGAAAAAAAAAATCTCCCACCAATTAGTTTGTATTTATTTATTTGTTTATTATTTTTATTTTTATTTTTATTTTTTTGCAAATATAGATAAAAAAAAAATTAATGTTTTCATTTGTTATGGATGCAAATGGGAACAAAATAATGAATATAAAAGTGACAAAATGATTGAGATTATTGCCTAATAGAATACACAAACAACAACATTTGCTAAAATGTAAATGTCATTTTTTTGGTTCATATCACTTATTTTAATAAGCTAAAAAAGTTACAAATATTCAAAAAAGTGTCACAAACCCAAAAAGTGACAAAATTAATTTAGAAGTAATTAATATGAAAAATTGTTGATCCAATCAGCTTTAAGCATATTAATCTAATATTTTATTTTTCAAGGGTAATGAACCTAATTTCCTCTTCATATATTTCATACATGCATATTGCTCTTAAAATAGAAACTAATTTATGGGCGTGTTTGACAAAGGGTTACATTTTTGTCTTTCCTTCTTGTAGAAAAGTTTATGAGAAAGTTAGCTTGAGTTAATTTCCTCTTCTAGTCGGACAAACTATTTTTAGAAAATCATTCGAAAAACAATTTCTTAATCTCAAAAACAGTTTTTACTTTTCAAAAAGCCAAATGAGTCTATGAGCCTATTTGGGAGTGATTTTGAGAATTAATTTTTTGACCGTTAGGAGAAAAGTGAGGTCCACTTATGAGAGAAAAAGTCAAATATGATGGCTAGAATAGTGAAATAACAGTCAAAAAATTAATTTTTTGGGAGAAAAAAATCACTCCCAAATAGACTTTATGTGTTTTTGAGCAACACCCAATGTACAGACCTTTTCTCACAGATCACTTACAGAGCCCCTCACTGTGCAGGGGTCCACCTATATTAAAAATAAAAAATAAAAAATTATGTGGGTGTGTTGTCTGACAGCACCCTAGTTCTATAAGGGTAGCACTGCTCTATGTTTTTATATCCTCTAGCAATGGCTAGCAAGTCAATCATGCGGCTGCGCAGAATC